TATTCAAAACTTTTGCTGCACATTTAAATAAAGTTCCTAAATGTTTATATATGGGCGACAACCCACTTCAAGATATTTTCACCCCTACAGTGATTCCTGAAAAACTGGATGTCATAGCAATGATAGAAGAAGTAGCAGCCGAAGGTTTATATCCAGGGTATCCTGAACATCCCAATTCCAACTATATTTCATCCAAATTATGGGACTCTTTTCTATATTCTAATCAAACACTAACTTTCTTTGGAGAAATAATAAAAAATAGTTCAAAACTTGTTATACCATCATTAAAAGTATTAGCAGAGAAGCCACTTGACTATGAACATAAATGTATTATGTAGAAACAATAGAATAGTTATTAATAGTTTAAAGTTTTATGAATTGTTTTAATTAGAAACATTATGGATTGGCATATCATTTTGCTTAACTAGTATTTGTGTTCATCTATTATATATCAATATTGTAGGTTGGTTGTTATATTAATGCTTATATCTTTCCATATTTTACTATTCTTTCCTTATACACATTAAATTAAATCCTGAATTCAATCTGCAACAAAATATAAATGAAATTAAAACATTAAATCTCTTAGACTCTCTACTAAATACATATCGTCCTACACAAAAGTATTTAAACAAAATCTTTAACATCTAAATTCTCTTAAAATATTGATTGTTATCCCAAATCACAAGAAATTTAGTTTCAGAAAAAAAATTATTTTAATATTTTCATTGATTGGTTTACTACATTTCCAGTATGTTTTCTTGATACCTATCAAGCTTTTGATAAGAAAAGAAATGAGGGATTGTTTTCCAAGCTCAAAATTTTGCTTCATATGACTTATTACTTGACAGACACTACTGTAAAATTATACAATGAATTATCTATTGTAAAATGTGTTAAAGCAGGAGTGCTTCAGGGCTGAAAACTGAAACCATTACTTTTCATTATCTTCTCGACAGACTTACCAGAGCATGACCAAACTTTATTGGCTTAATTTGCTGATGACTCTGAACTCCTCACACCCCACACAAACTCTATTCTAATGTCTTTAATCTTATGAAATAAGTGGTTATCTTGTGTGAAGGAAACTAAAATTGATTGAAGGGTGTGTTTTTGTCTTAATATTCAATTATAGATCATGCCATCTTAAGAATGCACCAATTCCTACATTTCTGGAAGTCTTCATCGGGTCAAAAGATTTAATTCAGAAGTGGCATCTATATGAAAAGAAAATGATTTTGCAAATATAATTTGGACTTCTACTAGTGCACTTCAATTATTCTTAACATATTATTCTATTGAGTTGCCAGAGAGAAATATTTTATTTAAAGCAGTGCTGCTCTACTATACACAGTATACTCATTTTAGCATAATATGCTACCAAATTCTTATAGACATGTGACAGAGTTATGGACTCATCCAAAATCCTGAAAAATTAGTGTTTCTGGTCGAAAGCATTGTGAAAAGTATAAGATACGCTATAAATGACTTGAGACACAAGAATTTGGACATCCTGAATGTTTTAATGTTCGTTAAGATATTTTACAAAATATGGGAAGCACAATATCTAACTTGACTAACAGTGACATTATCGCTAAACCAAAAGTATTTATTTTATTTATCTTGATATCGACAGCAGATGGAAAATATCATAAACAAGAAATTATTAGCATAGTGAAATAACAATTTTGTATTTTTTTGTCCAATAGTTTGTGAAATGTCTAAACGCATCTTTAGATACCTCAGAATACTACAAATGTACGAAACTATTTAGTATTAATTGTACATACAAATGTAGTATTCATTTTTGTAGTAATCTGCCACAGAATACTATCAAAACGCAATGTTGAAGAGATTTACTAAATTAATCATTGTCTGGATTGGATGTGAACTCACTTTTGCTTATTGAAAAAAATATTTTGCAGATGCCAAATTGTTTAGCTGTTTAAATAAATATTTTGTATTAGAAATAAAAAAAAAAATGCAAGAAATATTCTTATAGTACATTTATAAGAAATTATATATAAACTCATACATACCATAGTTAATTTTTAATTCTTGCTATTACATATTACTTTCTTAACTAAGTCTAACACTTATTTTAGTTCATACAAATAAATCACTTTTTATTTTAACAAAACTAAATGTTGTAAGTATTTAAAAAGACAAAATATTATTTAACATATTTAAACTGATTAAAATCATACACAGTTTTATAAAGATGACACAGTGAGTAACAATTTTTTACATATTTTTTTTTTTTATGGTTAAAGTATGTTGTATGTACATTATTATTTCAGGTATTTTTTTCTATTATTTATTACATTTATAGAGGGAAAATAGGAAAGAAAAAAAAAAAAGATATATATATATATATATATATATATATATATATATATATATATAAAACTGACTATATAATCCTTTTTAGTGAAACTGATAGCCTCGTAATGCCTTAGCAAGAAATGTAAGGGATTCCATAAATAGCCAATTCTCTGTTGGACTTAAGACAGTTAAGTCCAAGTCCCAATTAAAGCTTTATTTATATTATATATGTAATGCTGAAACTTGGCGGCGGATTCTTTTGTCACCAGATAGCCCAGGAAAATGATGGCATGTCAGCTACTGTTGACTATTTCCTCAATAACGTGAAACATACTTCTTAACATTCAATTTCACCAATTTAAGCTTATTCAACAACTGTTTATGCCATAAACATTGCCAAAAAATTTGAAAGTTTGAATATTTCAATGCTAGAACACTATTTCTTACAAAAATTTTCAATGTAACCAAATAAAAACGTTTTTTTTTAAATAATAATTGGGTATAATATAAGACTCTTTCAAAATATTTTAAATCAGTAATACCAGATCAAATTAGAAATAGACCAGCTCTCTTTCTAAGGTACTGAAATCTCAAACCAAGTGTTTCCTATGATATAATAAAGTCTGATTAACAGCTGTCTGGCCTGGACACCTTTGAAAGATTTGAGAGTGAACCCATCTCCATTATATCAGGAGCGATCTGGTATCAGAGTAGTAATGAATGGAGGAGAAAGGCCAATATATAATTGATTGCAGAGACTGAACAATTAATATCTCATGATAATAAGACAAGGAGGTTAAGATAGGCGGCTCATGTAGCTCCAAGATGTCCATCACAAAGCCTTTACACAGCAATGAATGCCTTAATAGTAGACAAGAGACCAGATCTATCAAATCAACAAAGATGCAATAGAGCTGCATGCACAAAACTGGTACGCAATACTGCAATTTAGGTAGAGGTAGAGGGAGGCTTTGGTGGCCGAGTATATTAAAGTGTTGCTTGTTTTAATATTCTGTAGTAATATAAAACATCCTCCAGGAAAGATCTAAGCAAACTAGCATGAGATGAATTTTAGTTAACACTGAAGAAATAAATAAATAAAGGTGTTCAAATACGATAGTTATTTAATGTAAAACAGAAGTGTGAATCGGTAATTAATATAATCTCTGAGGTTCTGGTATCTACAAATTAATTGAAACACTCTATTTGTATTTTGTGTAGAGGATTTATATATTTCAATTCCTTGTCGGTGATATTGATAACATATAAACATTTGTTTTTATTGAATATATTACTTTATTTTTGAAGTTGCAAAATAAAGTCATAAGTTTATAGTTCTTGTTTACACTAATACATTTTAGTAATCCATTATTATCGGTCAATTCATATGAATGTACTAAATAAATTCTTCACAGCATCCATTGAATTTTGAGTTATGATAAATACATACCAACATTTGTATTAATAAATTTTTCACTCTCAATCAAGTTAATTAATTACCATTGATTTTGGACACAAAAAAACGTTTTTTAAAATACCACTACCTTACTCTTTTTCTTCTATATGATTATTACTACTCTATTAATCTGACTTATTTATCATGGTTTTAATCCTGAAAATTGTTGGTACTACCTAAAATCTATTATTGTATTTGAATTAGAATATGTTTATCTTCTTTTTTTTCTTTGTACTTTACAATAATGGAAATTAAAATAACCAAGTGTTGGTTGGTATAGTTATATATAGAAAATGAATGTGCAACACCAAAAAAAAGGTATTATATTTAAATATAGATATGACAGTTATTGTAATTTTTGACAATTGGTGCCAAATTACAAAGTCAAGTAAATATAAAGGAATCGCTGAAGATGGGAAAATTACCCCGAAACGTCAGATGTGATTAAAAACATTAAAGAAAAAATGGAAGTTTAATTGCCTTAACCATAAAAATATGTTTATGTTTATAAACCCTGAATGAATTTTTCATTATGGCCCTTAAGGTGAAAAAACAAAGACTATGACCAAAAACTTTCTTTTAAGTAATAAACTGTGAGATAATATATATTTCCATTTGAAATAGTTCACTAAAAACATAACAGCATAAGTGAATTTAGGACCAAAGATAGAACTAGAATGATTGCTACCATTAGCGTATCCAGAATTTAATTTTGGGAGGACTTCACCCCGAAAGTTTTTTTCATGTATATAATCATAATAACTTTGGAAGAAAATGAAAGGAACTAACTATCTTTGTATATAAAATGATGTTTAAGTGATTCTTGAAGACATATTTAATTTAATTATGTGAACAATAAAACTTTCAGAGATAATTTTTTTCATAAGACATGATCATATTTTACCATTTTTGGGGGGATGAGGGGAGGGAGAGTGGGTGGATTCATCCCGAAAGCCTCATTTCATTTGTCGATAACTCAAATATTTAAATTAACTGTTTTTTAAAATAAAAAATCTTATTTATAAAAATACATTGGGTTGACACTAAGTTAAAAATTAAATATTCATAAAAAAAGAAATCCTGAAAAGGTGCCAATGTTCTTTACTACAAACATGCCAAAAAAGATTTTTAAACAAATCTGAGAGGCATTAGTTATAAAGGTTACATAATATTTATTAAAATGTATTTCATTGATAGTTTTAAATAATTTACAATAACATCAAATTAAAACAATTTTATTCTTCATTTAATTTTCAGAACATCTAGATAACAAGAGTATAAAAAATAATTTAAAACAAAATTAATAAACAAATAGTAGTGTCCTTTTACTTTTTCAATGAGATTTAAAAAATAAATATATAAATTAAAATAGAAAATTTTTATTAAAAAATTTTTTGGGAGTAGAATGAAAAAATGTATGTAACATAAAAATTAAATTGTTAGCATACTTAGTAGAAAAGAGAGTTATGGGCGTCACAAGCTAAATAATCTAAGTATATTTAGGTTCTGACCTTGTATATTCAAGGGTTCTACAAATATATAACATTTATATAAATAAATCAAATTAATAAGATCAGATAATTTTTTATTAAAGAAGTTATCATTATTAGTGTAACATTTAAATTATAAAAATACGCCTTCAATCCAAAAGATTTTTTTCCCCTTAAATATGCCACCATAACATATTGTACAAACATAAATAATATAATAGGCTATGGTTGGTGAAAGATGAAATTAATAAAAAATAATAAATAATCTAGTCTGTTTTTTCTTTTTTAAATCATAAAGGGACTATTCTAAAAGCCAGTAAATCCATACTCTTTGGTGGATATTAAACTATTGATTGGAAAATAAAAAAAGAAGATACAATTATATATACACAAATACAAAAAAATATGAATCCTCAATTGACTAATTCAGAGCTTCAAAATATTAAAATTGAATGACAAAAAAGAAATTGTTTCTGTGAGTTCTTTTAATTATAATACATGAGTGTTTATCTGATCAAACAAATAATTAATATTTGCCAAGAAAACGCTGACTATTATAAAATCTTAATATTGATGTCATTCTCATATTTGATTCTGAATGAGTCATAGCTTTACAACATCCTGGTATGACTATGACTTAATCATATCACTCACTCTTTTCCAGCTAGATTGGAGCCTATTGTCCAGATATCTAAAGAAGATTGTGATCCATAGATAATTTTTATCATAAATCAATAACTTGAAGTCAAATTAATAGTACATTAAATGAGAAATCAATCATTCTACCTAATCTCAAATGATATTACATAAAAGACTTAGAAAATAAATCATGTAAATAATGGAACTTTATAATAAATTATTGTACCATACTTCACTAAAGATTATACAACGAAAGTAAAAGATACAAATATATTTATATGTAAGGAATATAACAACCACCACCTTAAAGTTAAAAAATAATTAACATATTAAAATTTAAACATCCCATTTTAAATTTTTTAAGTTGGCATATCCATGTTTAATATGATAATGTTATGAGATAAATAACATAAAACAATTTTAAAAACTGCATTTGTCACAAAGCAACCATAAACAAGTTAAGGTTAGGAATGACCAGGTTTTTTGTTTTGTTTTTAATTTAAGTTTAAAGCTATTCAGAATTAGCTTTTTAAAGTTGTACCCAAAATAATATAAATCTTAAGGATGCAAAAATTAATAACACATTTGTTTACTTATAGTTTATTGTTCTTTAAAGATTGGGTTTCACAAAGCGATAATGTTTATAACATAAATACTCTGTAAACAAGAATAATGTTTGTGCGAATAAATTCCCAAAAGTATTTGCACTATAATAGCATATAAATGAAATAAAAATTTTATTTAAGAATATATAGTTATATTTATATAGAATAATAATAAATACTCAAAAAACATTAAATTCTATTCTCTAGCAATAATCTTTATAGTTAACTATATGACTGTAAACTATTACTAACATATAAAATGAAAACATAGCAAGAAAAGGGACTAAAAGACATTTGTTAAGAAAATAAAAGAAAAGTAATAAGCATATAATCTAAATAAATCAATAATATATCAAAACAGTGCTACATAATATTCATATAAACATATAATAAAGTAACTTCTTAATAAGACAATAATAAAGGTTCTCTAGAAAACCATAAAAAGGTTCACTTATATCACTTAAGACAAATTTTGAAGCCCAACAAGGAAGTCGTCGAAAATACCTCATATAGTTAGTTATAGATTATGTATACATCAAATATTTATATATCATAAAATTTTCTCTATATTTCAAACAATTCCCTACCATCATCAAAATATAGATTTAAAGTATTTTCAAGTCTAAATAACTTTCAATTAATATAAGAGTTAAATAAATATCAAACAGGGCCACTTTTAAGTTTAATATGATTAGAATCGATAACAAATTTCTACTAGCTAGTAGACAATATACAGTAACTTTAAAAAGTTTTATTTGTTATAATACAATGTTTGTACATTCCTCAAAAATGTATTTCTAAAATAAATGATGGTAAGCACTTGCCTTATGTAGAGATGAAGGGCAGCCTAAAACTAATAAAGTTTTTCGATGTTAAAACTGCCTGTCTTGTACATACCATTAAACATGGTGGAGCCAATAAACAAAACCTGAATTTTGGTTGAAACTAATACTTCAGCTTCATTATAAGAACTTGCACCCTCAAAGAAGCTTACATTTGCGGTTCCTCTTCTTCTTTTTGACTTGTAGAGCAGCTCTGGTAGCTGTTTCAAACACTTGTCTAACCCCATCTTTTGTTTTGGCAGAACATTCAAGATAGTCAAAGGCATTAATTTTATCAGCCATAGCTCTACCTTCTTCTGGTTTAACTGGTTCTTGTTTCATTTTTGCCAACTCTTTAATTGTGTTTGGATCATTTCGCAAATCTTTTTTATTTCCTACAAGAATGATAGGTACATTTGGGCAAAAATGTTTTACTTCAGGGGTCCATTTTTCAGGTATGTTTTCTAATGAATCTGGTGAATCAATAGAAAAACTCATTAAAATAACATCCGTATCAGGATAAGAAAGTGGTCTTAGCCGATCGTAGTCTTCTTGACCAGCAGTATCCCACAATGCTAGTTCCACTTGCTTTCCATCAACTTCGATATCAGCAACATAATTCTCGAACACAGTAGGCACATATACTTCTGGAAATTGATCTTTACTAAATACAATCAACAAACAAGTCTTTCCGCAAGCACCATCGCCAACTATAACTAATTTTTTACGTATAGCAGCCATCACAAAACAATAACCACTTAGAACAACTCCCAACAGTACTAAGTGGACATTCCTAGCCCAAAGAGCAGCTGTTACCAGTGCCTCTAATATAATAAAGTTTGACATTTTAGGTGGCACTCGATATTTCCCGCTCGATTTTAAATATAAATAATATGATAAATGATATGTTGGAGAACATTATCTTCTGGTGATTTTTGAAGTGAAAACTTCTTTAGGCGCGTTTAACACTTTTTTTGTAGGTAGTGGATGAGAATAAGCTCTCTCGCTCAACTATATAACGCTCATTCTGGTAAAGTCAGCTCGAGTTGACTAATTTTTGCATTTAGATTAAAATATTCCAGAAACTAAAATAAACGCCTGCATATATAGGTACTGAATGTAAGCATGTGGCAAGAAAACATACAAACAATTTCTTCCTCCCAACATCCCGCATTACTGTTCCCGTAATTACTTGTATTAATTTTATTTTTATTATTTATTTTTTACAGATCTTCAACGACTGCTTAAAAATTATTTTATATAGTTTATTTTTTTTCTTCCACAGTGGTGTTCATTATACAAATAAAAGTGCCCAAACCAAAAAAAAAAAAAAAAAAAAAAATTAAATTCTGAATCTGCTATTGTTTAATATTATTTAAACAAAAATTATACAAAGCAATCAAGAGAGTCGTTTTACATTTAACTTAAAATTTACATCATACATTTAAGTATATGCCTGTATTTCCACAAATAAATAAAAATTAATTCAGTTTAGCCAACTGTTGTAGTCAACTGATTTAAAAACGGCTCAATTTCTCAGAACTTGAGCTTCTGGTCTTTTAGAACTTCAGCCCAAGATTAATACATCATAAGGTAATATATACTTTCTCATGCAATGAATCTTAGAAAAACTATTCATTTTTGTAAAAAGTGGCTGTTAATTGTAAATTGTTTATTTAATATAACTGAAAGATTTATAAATACAATAATCGTTTTAGAAAGTTTCTATGAATATCTACTCACTTTTTATGCTATGAGAACTGTAGGAGATAATAATCAATTCTAAACAATTACATATTTACTATCAGCATTAAAGTATCAAATATCTATATACTTAGTGGCTTGAATTTTTAATAATTTTATCTTCATAATTCTTATTATTTTATTCTACTTTATTATCAATTGCTTTTATTCCTCTGATAGAACTTTGTTAGTATTATCGTCTTTTGAATATACATTCTGTTCCTTTGTTATATATTATAGATTTATCTGTTACAATCTAATTGTCTTAATATTTCAAACGGATAAAATAAGACAATGAGGCAATTACAAGACTTGAGACTGTTTTGACTTTTTTTATGATTATAATTATTTTCTGAACATTGTTGACATTTCAATTAATCAGTTATTTATTCATTATTTTAAATTAGAAAATAGTTCTTTGAAGCAGCCTCCAAAAAATTATCCAAATGTAGTAAATCACAAAAATTCATCTATTCCAGGTGTATATGTGGGAAGATGGCAAAGTGGGCCCCAAAAGGGGGGTTTATTTTTATTTCTTAATTGGATGATTATTATTGCAAAACCATTACATACTTCCTCCTTAGTCAAATGTGAATATTATTTTTATTAAAAAAATCACTATTATTAATTTTTTTTTAGATTACTTTGAACATTACTCGCCTTTAGCTCCAAATGGTACCCCACTAAATGCCATTTCTGGCATATGGGGTGGTACAACCAAACCTATTCTAACTAGAGTGAGAAGAACGAGATTCATTCCGTGGGTCTGCTACAAAAATATTTAAACTTAGGTTGAAACATAAGCCAAAGATACAATTGAGTTAGGTAGATTAATATCTCTAAGCCTGAACCTTGAATATAATTGAATGGTCAAGCAGATAGATGATAAGTGACATTTTATGATTATTTATTATAAAAATTGAATTGTTGCTAATTATAAAAACATAAAGTGTTATATTTTCAATATTTCTTCATTTCATTCATATAAATTCAATATTTGGTACATAATCAAGTTGATAGAGGTGCTCATCATCAATCTACTTTTGCCTTACAGTAATTAACGTGATCTGAATAAGTTTTATCATAAATCAAAAATATTACTTATCTCCTTTATCCACTTGACACTTCGATTAATAAAATAAAAAAGGAAAAAGGACCTAATTCATGTTGTCCAATCTGTTATGAAGTTATAATACTTTATTATATTGGAATCTCGGTAATCCTAAGTCTGATAATACAATAATCCAAGATCTTTTTAATGATTGGTTTGTTTATTTTTAATTCTCTAATTTTTCTTTCCACATTATAAAAACATTTTAACAAAACTTTTAAATTTTCATAAGTGTAGGTAAATGTATTTATTACGTGTTTTCAAGAAAACAAATCAAGATAAAATCTTGTCTACAAATGTTCTTTCAAAAAATGAGTCCAGCAAAAGATAATGGAGGATTATTTTTACATATAAAATTCAAAATTAATCTATTTTAAAATTATGGTTTCACACATCGAAGTACATGTTAATGTAATTCTATTCAATGGTTTGTTTAATTTCTGAACATTATTCTGGTACTCCAAGTTATTGGAGGATTGTAATTATTTAAGCCCTGTCCAACCCAATTCAGATTATCAAGACTTCCCTATGTATCACTTCAATGAAATATTAAAACATTATTTTTGCTAAGGATGACTTTGTGTACGTATTGTAAAAATTTGATTATACTTCTTACTTTAAAAAAACAATTGTTTTTCTTGATACTTTTAATAGATATGAGTTCTGGAAGTTAAACTGTTCCAATAATTTGTCTTCATATTTGGTAACACATGCCCTAAAAACAAGTTTACATTAGTTACTTAAATTAAGATTAATTTTATGATGTTTGAGTAAAGAGATACAATATTTTTGTTGTGGTGATGGATTCAAGTAATATTTTATCTGTTTTTAATAAACTTTACTTTTGAGAAAATTATATAACCAATGAGTAAATATTCACACTCATTCTGAAAACTTTTTTGTTTTTGTATTCCATAGTTATGTCATAAAAGAGTTTAATGTATTTTTAAATTTTGCAAATATTATGTTACAAGGTGTTTTACATATATAATAATATTTTAGTGATTTTTCATTGTGAACAATTTTATGGTAGATCAAAAAAGTATTGGCACACTTAACTTATTTTTGGTTTCATTATGAAAAATTAAAAAAATTGAATTTAAATTTAAATTTAAATTTATTAATAAAATATTAAGAAAAATATATAATTGAAAAAAATTAATTTACTTAATTAAAAAATTCAGTGAAACAAAAAATCACTTCAGCACATTACAAAAAAATATTGGTTATTTTCACTTATTTTATTTTAAGGTTTATTTTATAAAGTCCACGAACTGCATATGTACTAATATTTTGTCATCATACCATTGGCATCCATAACAACCAGCAATCTTCTTGGCATCGATGAAACAAGATTTTGAGTTACGTCTTGTCCAATTTTAAGTCATTCCTCTGACAAAGTTTCTTTTAAATAATTTTTATGGTTCACCTCTGTAATAAAAAGTTTAATTGTATTTATGAATTACATTTCTTATGATCTGTAAACAGAAGGTGGTATTTGAAGTAGATCCGACCTCTTCTTCTATCTCGGTGGCTGATAAAGTGGAATTTTGTCTGAACTATTTAGTAGATACTCTTTAGGTGCTTTTTTGTTTAATTTTGATGGCTGTTCTGAATGGGGTTTGTTTAAAACCGTCTTTCTTTACTTTTGTATAATATTCCAAACACACCGAAACTAATTTCTAATTTATTCACTATTTGTCAGTAGCTAAGTCCTTCAGAATGTAATTTAATAATGTATTTTTTAAATTGACACAATATTCACAGGTTTTACCTATGTCGTTATGGCAAATATACAGCAAAGATTGGTTTTTATTGTTATCATTGTATTATCGTCAATACTTATTTCTAATCTCTTGAAAGAAAAAGGATTAATTTTTTTTACTGGAACTAATTGTAAACATTTAAAATTGTGCGAATACTTTTTTGATGCTAAAAATTTACTCTTCAGGTTTACTTTAAACATAGTTTTTGAATTCCAAACATTCAATGCTTTTAAAATAAAATTCTCAAGGACTAATTTGTGAAATAAGTATTATTTCTGGAGTTGAGCTTGCCAATGCTTTTATGATCCACTTTCTATCCTTTTCCTCAAAAATGAAATTCATTAAAAACTGAAAAAATATAATTTGAATCCACTGTCACAAAAATTACTAGTACTCCTTTATGGACGCAACATATTACTTGGTTTCAATCATTTACTAAATTTTTTTGTGTAACTTTAGTCTTTATTTTTTTACTTACTGAGAGAAGAAGCCAATTGTTTATAGGATCGCTTAATTATTTAAGAAGAAGAAAAATAAATTGACATTTAGCCCCCTAAAAATAATTATAAAGAACAAAAAGATGAAATATGTCTGGGATTATAAAATAATAAAAGAATAATATTTATACATACTTATTTAATAGTTTCCAAAACTACATTGTAAAGAAGTAACTAAGTAATTTAATTTTTTTGTAACACAAGTAATTTACTTTTTTTGTGGTCCTTTCTAACTTTTTTAACAGTAACATAAAAATACAGATTTATTAAAAAACATTATGAATTAGGCTGACTGACCGAAAGCGCAGTTGAGCGTTGTAAGTGGGGGTCGGCAACCAATTGCGTAGCAGAGCTCAGCTCAGTCAGCAACTTGCCTTGCATCAGTACCTTCTTGTATTCCATATAACATTTTCAAAAAAGTATATATAAAATTTTTAAAAGTAGCAAAGTTGATCATGTCGGAGCTGAAAAGAAAAATCGAATATTTGTGTATAAAATCGAATATTTGTGTATATAATAGAATATTTTTCCGTACACATTCGATTGAGAATTCTTCCACATCCATTGCATGTTTTACACTGATCCAAAATAAAATAATTTGAGTGGTTATGCAGTGAAAACAAGCAAATAACATTTTAAAAAAAATTTATAGCATATATAACATTTTAAAAAATTAGCAAAGGTGATCATCTCGCAGCAGAAAAGAAAAATAGTATATTTGTATATAAA